CGAATCAAAGTAAACCACGAAAGAAAACAAAATCTCAAAACCCAACAATAACAAAAGCTGAACAAATTAAAATCAATATATACATAAGAGCTCTAAAGTTATTACAAATATATCCAATGCACTAAAGGCCCAACAACAAAATACATAGCTTCACAACAAAACCACTATATGGCCAACTACCATCTAACGCCTACAATCAAAGGGGAGCTTTCTTGTCAAGTGTAGGTCTTCAACCGCCAATCATGATCACCTAATCGTACGGCCTCGACCCGCGAGCTATCACTCTACATTCAAGAAAGTCAAAGGAATAAGCTATGAAGCCCAATAAGTAGGTCAAAGCGCCATGCATTCCTGCCTAAACACAGTTATTCAAATAACCGCCCCAAAATTCATGCCGGTTTTACAATATGGAATCATGCACCACAGTTCAACGTGTCATGAGAAATTTCTCTCATGGTGGGGCAATTGCAAATCAAATATCAGACATAACTTGAGCAAACAGTTTATCTGATCAACAAATTTAGGTAAACATATATTAACTGTATGCAATCTTAAAGTCGCATATTCCCGAAGTAGAAGCCCTATCAATCAAGCCAAGTCAATCTCATTGCTTAAGACTTCTATCATTCATCAGGAGGGAAGACAATGACAAATGGATAATTCATTTTGTAATATCTTCACACACACACACAGTCCCTAATGCGTTTGGGGCTTTTGATAGGCAGAGGCCTTACAAAACATGACTCTTATGTCCTTATGGCCAGAGAGCGTTACACTACCATGGATGACCGAATGTGTAGTGTCCATATAGATTTGGGGGCGCGACTCTCTTGACTACTCTAATTCGCATCTTAACTCTCATCCTATCATGGGGAGTTAGAGAAGATCTCAATTATTTGTACAACTTTCTTATCATATCATATCACATGACACTACTAACGGATGACCCGTTGCGTAGTGCGTCATATCACATCAATGGCATGTCTTGTTAGTTCACTCACATTTCATAGGCATGTCTTATTACAACAATGCGCATTCAATATTTCATACATTCACTATTTCATATGCATTCACTATTTTATAAGCATATCTCATTACAACCATGCATATTTAATATTTCATAAGCATTCACCATTTCATAAGCTTTAGCTATTTTTTAAGCATGTCTTATTACAATCATGCTCATTCAAATATTTCATAAGCATTTAATATTTCATAACAGAGCAGAAAATTTAGTGTAACAGTCTCTTAGAAAAACGAGCATAGTTTTCACTCATCATAATCACTTTGAAAATAGACTCCCTCATCTGTCTTTCAGAAGTGGTTTGGCTTCATTCTGAGGCATTTTGGTCATTAGACAATGCTACACAAAACATGTGATAGTTCTAGAAAATTCAGCAGAAAATCTAGTGTGGTATCATTGTAGAAAATGAACATAACTTTTGAATCACAGAGAATACGATCATGCTTGCTGACCATTTTTAAAATAGATTCATACATCTTTCATTTATAAGTGGTTTGAGCTCATTCTGACAGGAATTGCTCAGTGAACAATCTTACACAAAACATGTAACTGTTTTGAAAAAGTTCATGCATTCACAACAGGGACATCTTCATAGAAAAAAGGGGCATAATTTTCCAACCGTAGGGAATTTTTTTTTAATTCCAAAACCAATTTTGTTTTAATTCCAAAACCATGGTTAAAGTAGACTCACTCATCTTTCATTAAAAAGTGGTTTGAGTTAATTCTAACACGATTTGGTCAGTGAACAATCTTGTACAAAAACATGTAAATTTTATGGAATTCATTTTCATAATTCAAGCATATCTAAGCAAATGGCTCATAACTTTCCAATCAATATAGATATTGATATTGGATATTTTTCTTCTTAAAATAGACTCAAAGGGGTACTTCCCCACAAACTTTCATAATCAATAAAAATAACTTCAGTGCTCAAACAATTACTCAAATTGGAGTTACAATTCTAAAAAAACAGGCACATCCAGCAAAGTTGCAAGAGCATTCAAGCCATATTCATATTCAAAGTTTTATCCAAAAACCTCATAATTTGATAGACTAAAAAAACATGCATTAACTAAAAACATGAAGACGTAGTAGCTAAACACACATACATGCACCAAAAGACTCCAAGTTCCCCACATAGGTTCTCCTTAAAGGCCAAACTTCTAAGCTTAATGTTCTAAGTGTTAGAAAGGGAGGACGTGGGTGAGAGAAGGCAAAAGTTCTTAGAGGGGTTTGAAGGGCAGTATTTGTAAGCAAAGAGATGGGGGCAGCAGGCAAGTGGTATGCAAGTGACACACAAGTGACATACAGTGGCATCTAGGTGGCATACAAGTAACTTACTGGGGCATACAAGGCATACATGTAAAAGCAAGGTATAAGAGTTCTCTTGACATCCACGCTCGGCAGTAACACACATGGCGGCGTCGTGCTCAGCGACATCACGTGCGGCAGTGTTGCTCACGATGGCTTCCTCCTTGGCAGCAGCGCTCATGGCAGCATCACGCACGGCGGTGCCCCCCACGGTAGTGACGCGCACGACGGTGTCCTCATGCACACACGACACCTTATTCCTTGATGCAGTCATGCCCACGGCTTCCCCATTGGCAGCAGCGCTCATGGTAGCATCACACACGGCGGTGTCGCGCGGTGACGCGTACGGCGGTGTCCTCATACACGTACGACGGCTTACTCCTTGATGCAATCATGCCCCTTCGTGACCGAGCTAGGAAGGGTCGTATAACCCAAGAGAAAAGAAAGGGGCATTGATGTAATAAGGGAGATTATTAGGGTTGTTTTAAATTTTATTATTTTGATAAAAATAGGGAGTGCGCATGGATAATTAGGAGGACATGAGTTTGTATTGTGTTTATCTTGTTAGTTTGAGATGTAAATATGATAAGGTTAAATTAGGGGAGTTTTATCTTTATCAGAATAGGAAGGCTTTGAGTAAAACGTGGGAGGCTTTGCTTTGATAAAAATGTGGCTATTTATTAGCATGTGAAGTTAAGAGAGAAAAAATAGGGAAGAGAGAAAAAAAAGGAGAGTGTGTGGAGGTTTTTTTTCTCTTTTGCTAATCTTCTTTTTTAGTATATTTAAAAGGAGGTTTCCCTTTATTGTAACGTAGTCTATGAATTGAATAAAAATTAGTCTCGTGAAAGAGATTGTTTTGGGGGTAGATTCCCTTACAGACCTTTGAGATAAGGTATTTTATCTCAACCTTCCATCTTTTTATGGTTAATTTTCTGGTTTTTGTTCTCTCCTTGCATCACTCCTACACTCTCGGCGGCATCCATTGCACGCACGGCGGCATCCCTTGCATGCACGACAAACATCCCTTGCATGCACGACGACTTACTCTTACACGCACAATGTCATCCCTTGCACGCACAGTGGCATCCCGTGCATGCACGGCAACTTACTCTTACACGCACGGCGGCATCCTTTGCACACATGGTGACATCCCTTGCATGCACGACAGCTTACTCTTACACGCCGGAAAAGTCTGAGTCCATACATAAGAGCATATAAATATCCAAAATTTGTTGAATACAATTATAAAATGAGCACCATAACATAACCATTTCTTGAAAATCTTTTGAAAAATTAGGACTTTTAAACATAGTTAAAAAAAGGGAAAAAATTATATAGAGTAGTGGTTTTAAACAATCAAATTAGAGCTCACCTCAATAATTTTCACTAGAAGAGGTTGTTTTGATGTCCAAATATCTTCAAATTAATCATCTCAGCATCAAGATGCATGGACATGAGAAAAAAATGGATTTCAATTTTTGAAAATAATGCATCTTGTAACGCATTTTTTGACAGTAAATTTTTAAGTTTTCATAGATTGGTTCGATCTACACTATTTTTGAAGCTTTAAATATTATAATTAAAGATGAAAATATATTTTACGGCTTTCAAAAATATTTTCAATATTAAAACCACATTTCATGACACTATTTTGAGGGTACGCTTCACTTTTATTGTTTAGAGCCTCAACTCTATACAAACCTCACCCTTAAAAAAAAATGTGTTGTTTGTATAAGGCCGAGGCTTTAAATAATCAAAATAAAGCACACATTCAAATAGTATCGAGAAATGTGGTTTCAATACTATAAATCTTCTTGATAGCTTTAAAACATATTTTTATCTCTAATTATAAAATTTAAAGCTTAAAAAATAGTGTAGTTTGAGTGGATCTATGAAAAATTAAAAATCTTGAAAACTCGTGGTCTAAAAATGCATTACAAGATGTACTATTTTCAAAATTTAAAATCTATTTTTTTTTTCTCATGTTCATGCATCTTGAAGTCGAGATGATCAATTTGAGGATATTGTATTTGGGCGCATCAAAATAAGTGAAATTTTTGAGGCGGGCTCTAATTTCCTTGTTTAGAGCCCCGGCTCCTTATAAACTTTTTACTTAAAAGATATGATATATATAAACTATATTAAAGGGCGCGGTTTGTATAGAGCCTAGGATTTAAACAATCAAATTAGAGCCCACATTCAAATAGTGTCGAAAAATATAGTTTCAATACTGAAAATTTTTGTAATAAAATATATTTTCATCTTTAATTATAAAATTTAAAGCTTAAAAAATAATGTAGATCAAGCATATCTATGAAAACTTGAAAATTGACGGTCAAAAAATGCATTACGAGATGCACTATTTTTGAAATTTGAAATCCATTTCTTCTCTTGTCTATGCATCTTGATGATATTTAGGCATCAAGCCAAACTATTCTAGTGAAATTTTTGAGGTAGGTTATAATTTGATTGTTTAGAGCCTTTTATATAAATTTTTTCTTTTTTTTAAATCATATTCATAAGAAAAAAGTATCAAATGAGAGTGGTTTTTTTTTTATAGAAAGTAGTAATCTTGACCATTGGAATATAAAATTGGATATGAAATTGGAATATAAAATTGGATGGCTGAAATTATTCTATTGACCAAGCTTTTCGAATTTTGTGAAACCACCGAAGTTAATTACGCTCTGGATCAGAGTACGGAGTTTAAACGGGCCGAGAATGTTTTCGGAGCCAGACTTAGAGGGAGAGAGAAAGCGTCGCAAATCCATAATGGGGTTGGAAGAATGTACCTGACCCTTGCTTACCCCACTCGCTTTCTCTCCCTAAACGCCCACCTCCCCATTTTCCTTGTCATTAAACCTGCAACGAAGTTCCTCTTCCTTGGAAAGAAGACCATGTCCACGAAAACCCAACCGCACGCGTTTGCAGGCAACCCACTGAGAGCTTCTACCTCTAACACCATCCCCACCACCGATGAATCTTCTTTCTCTTCAGCTTTTTCAACCCTAAAATCCATTCTAGACTCCACCCAAGAAGGCCCATGGCGCTCTTGTAATGTCAAGGTCCTTCCTTTCAAAAGAGGCAAGCCTTTAGCCTCTTCTTCCGTTTCTCCTTCTTCTTCTGTCTCTGGTTCATCTGATGGTGTTCCACTTTGGCATTTGGGGTGGCAAAGTTTATTGGGTTGTAAGGATTTTCTTGGGAGTTTTGAAGTTAAGCTGAGCCATGAGCTTCTGGTTTTTCTTGGAAAGCAGAAAGATGTTTCCTACTGGGCTATCGATGTTTCTGCGATGGATTCTTCTGTAGTTGTGGCCCAATTGAAGGGTTTCTCTTTTGTGGAGCTTAGGACTCTCATGGTTGCTACTGATTGGGCTGATACTTCTGCAATGGGGGAATTGGCAGTCGCTGGCCATGTTAGTCTTTCTCTTGATTCCTTTTTCTCTTCATTTTTCCATTCCCTTTATTGACTTAGTTTAATCTAATGATAATTCAGTTTCAAAGCTAGGAAATTTTTACTCAGTTTAATTTGTAATTGTTCAGTCTGAATACTTGCTTCTTTTACTTTGTTCTATTTGGAGAAATTCATCAATTACTTCAGTTTTGATGGTTGCCTCTGTTAATTTAAATTGGATTAGAAGTTTGAGTTGAGATAGTTCAGTTTCTATGGTTCCTTTTTCACTTGGTTTGAATTGGATTAAGTCAATATCAATACTTGCTATGGAGATGATGGAGTTTTTTTTTTTTAGTTTTAAACGGAGGAGAGGCTTTTGTTTATTTCGTTCAAATCCCATGTTGATCTACCCAACAAAAATGATTTTTTGTTGTTGTTTTCAACCGATGCTAGGAGATTGAGTGGTCTTCTAATAACTCGTCTGAAGCATCTAGTTCTTCTGCACAGATATATATCTCATTCACAGATTATGGCCCTTGGTGTTGTCTGTCTTTTAACGAAGCTCTATTCTTTGTTAATGATTGGACTTTGAACTGTGGGTAATGCATCTACAATTTTCTAGGCAATGACCTTGTGAGCTATGTGTTAGGACAATTTAACAAACTACGACATTTCCCTTCTCAAAGATATGCAAGCAATTATATAGATAATCTATATCATAGTTATGACTTTTGGTTATAGCCAATTTCTGTGAGATCAAATGTCGACAACAAATTGGAATAAATTTGCAGGAATTTACCAATCTATGAAGGACAGAAATAACGCTGCCATCCTTGTTAGCAATGAGATTTTTTTTTTTCTGATGAAGTTTTGGCAATGGAAATTATGGTAAATATAAAGACATATTGACTAAGTTGTGTTCATAATTTTGTCATCATGGACCTTTTGGAGCTTTTGAATTTATAGACATCATCAGGTAGTCTAATGGATTATTCTTGTTTAGTGCTCAAAACATGGCTCAGGCAAGGTACTCAGCCCCTGTCCGAGCTGAGTTACTCAGTTTGGACTCAGCTGAGTCAACGTACGGGCCACAAGTAGCCCCAACAAAATCCCAAAAAATTAATTTATAGTTTCACAAAATTAGAAAAACAGTAAAAAAAAAAACAAATAGAAACAACACAAAAAAGTATGTAAAAGATGGAAAGTGATAAAAACTGATCTCATTTATCAAAAAACTGATGAAACACCGAATTAAGTTACTAGTTACTACTATTGTAATATTCCAGTGATAATTTAAATGAGGCCCATAAATTTCTACTTCACAAGATCACAACTTCACATCGAAGACAATTAAGAGTAAAGATTAAGATAATACATCGCTCTGTAGTACATAAACGTCTCACAGACGCAGAATCACAGTGTCATAGAGAGCACTCCTATACAAGAATACATTGCTCAGCAGCCTAATACCAAAAGGAGTCTCTTGAAGGTAGGTGTGAAAGAGAGTTTCCTCCCAAGTATCTGTTGGCTTGACAGAGCAGTCTCTGCCCTTAAAGGCTAGAGTTGGGTTGGTAGCCCTAAGGCCCCTAACTCAAAGCCTAGGCTTGTCCAGCCCTTATGCTCATTCTCAACAGGGCTCTATCGCTTATGATCACCATTTTGGCTATGCCTTCCACCACCTTGGCTTTGTCATGATCATCTTAGTGCTCCTGTTCAGTAGAACCCCCACCATTTTGGCCCTCCTCACTTCCTCTAGATTGGCCAGTATGCGCCCCCCCTAAAAAAAAAAAAACAAAAGGAAAAAACACAAACACACATACTTATCTGTCATTTGAGTCATTAGCTTGTTGGTTCTTTGTGCTTCACCATGCATTCCTCTGTTTGATCCTCGTTGAATATTTAGTCGAGGTTGATAGAATCATAACCATTCATTTGCCTCCTTAGCTGGCTGTTCCTTAGGTTTAGATTATAATGTAACAACCTAGCGTATGCAGCCTCTCAGTTTTCAACCTAGTCCTCCTTAGAGCATGGATCGACTTATTTACTCCAATTTCTCTTACTACACCCTATGACAGAACGAGTTTGGTTGAGGACCCTTATTGCGATCTTTTTTTAATAGGGCGGGGGTGGTTTTGCTTCCATGTGATTCCCACCATTTTTCTTAAAAGACATAAGATAAATTTATCATATAGGCATTGAATTACATCATCATCATCATCATCGTTTGAGCCTTATCTCAACTTTTTGGGGTTGGCTACATGAATCCTATTTTGCTATTCTGCTCTATCAAGGGCAATACCCTTAGTCAGACCATAGGTCACCATATCTCTTCTCACTACGTCCATCCATGTCCTTTTGGGCCTTCCCCTTACCTTTTTAGAGACTTCCACTGAAACCAAATCGCCCCTCCTAACTGGTCATGCTCTAGGCATTGAATCATATATACTAGTTATTTTAGGCTACAATAACTCATGGAAATTTGAAAGCTAACCTGGATCTAAGTGCACTTGACTTCTAGCCATATTGGTCTTGAAATGCCTTGAACATCCATAGTAATTAGGCGAAAACAATAAAGAGCACATTCTCAATCTACAAACTGCAGCAACCGAAAGAACAATGTTGTTCACATTTTAAAGTTATAAACGACAACTTACCTCTTTCAAGCTTCAATTAGGGTGTCCTTATTTGGCTCTAATTTTCCAATATAATATTTCACCCCATCCATGAACTCAAGGTAATTACTTTGACCTGGTAAATAACGACAAGTCAGGTTTAAGAAAATACTTGAACACATTGATTATATGAATTTATCAACATTCAGGTCAACTGAGCCAACATAAATCATAAATTAAGGAACTTAAATTGAAACTTGAAAATTAAAATTACCTGCTGCATGGATATGGTGGTGCAATGTGCCTGGCCACTTGTTATCAATGATCTCCCTCACTTTGCTATAGAATTTACACTTTTTTTATATGGCTTGCTTTGCTCAATCCAATCCCTCGTACAAGTATCCCATGGCAGGCTTAACATTTGCATCCACATCCTTAAAGCTTGTACAAGTGCAACCTGTTTGCACCTACCCAAAATTTACAGTTATTAGTAATTTCCAAAACCTTTCTTCTAGTCTGAATCTATGCAACAGGTGTAGAATTCCATTCCTCTAATGCTGCCATTGTCTTCAAACTTAATTGCTGCCTTAGGATTGAATCTAGTGTTAAGTAAGAGGTGGCAAACCTAGTGATGGTAGGCCTAATGAGCTCTCTTTCAAAATACTGCGATATCAAGCTAAGAATGAAGGAACAATTGTATATGAATTTTGTAATCCTTCTCCCTTGCTCAACGCAACCCTTTACCTCCTTCAATTCACTGATAACTTCTTACATTAAATCAATAAATTGAGAAATGCAAGGCCTCCATGCTAAATTCTTTCTCTTTTCATTAATTTCCTCCTTGCTTTAACATAGCTCTTAGCATTATCAGTTATAACCTGCACAACATTTACCTCCCCAATCTCCTCTACTGCTTTATTAAGATACCTAAATAACAGCTTTTCGATCCTTTTTTGTTTTTGGGAAAGGTCACAACTTGAGTGGAAAGTTGCCCATCTAGTGCAATGCACTAAAAATTGAACAATTTGTCTCCCTTTCCCATCTTTCCATCATTCAGACATGATGGCAACCCCAGACCTAGGCCACATTTGCTTAAAATTTTTAAGGAATAAGTCCACCTTGGCAAGCTCACTTGAAGTTGGCCCTTGAACCCTAACCTTGCTTCAGCAATAGTGGATATCATTATCTAATAATATTCACTATCAGCAGCAATTGAAGGTGTAGCACTGTCATAGAAAACCTAGCAATCACCCTCTTTACCTTATCCTTGTTTGTCCCTCTATGAGAACTTAAGGGTCTTCTGGTGATATTCAGGCCATAAGGGGTCAATTCAAGGCGATTCAGTAGGGTGGGGTTGGGATTGCGGTTGTGTAGATCGAGTAAAAGTAGATTTCCTCGAAGTGGAACACCTAAAGAGTTCTTGCCCACATCCTTCTGCACAAGGTTCTACTGGTTCAAAGGACAATTGCTAGAAGCTCCCGCCCTTCAGCATACATCTCTTCAATCAAGAGCTATCTAGCTTGCATTTCTGCTAGACTGGCCCTCCTTGCAAGCTTCATGTGGACCTTAAACTCTTCCTCCTCATCCTCTTGAGGAGATGCATCGTACTCATTACCAATCTCCTCAGTTATCCTATATTTGCACCTTCTTTCTTTTTGCTACATAACTAGTTCTTTGCATTTGCTTCGTAATTGGCCAAGTGCCTTTGTCATGGCGAGTTGATGTTTTAGGCGATTAACACCACCTGTCATTTCCTTCCTACAATGTCCAACACTGCATGAAGCTGTTGGAGAAGTGCAAAGGCAGCGTTGGGGATGATAGGTGGTGTTAACCATTAGCATATATAAATACATCCTTTTTACACACAAAAAATAAAAAGATTGAATTACTGGATTTTTGGGGGTGAGTGAGAAAGAGAGCACTACTTCTAAAACAATCAAAGCATGTTAAATGCATAAAAAACACATAAAAACAATACAATCAGTACCATCACATTGTAAAAATCCTAATTCTATATAGACTCATTACAAGTCAAAAAACTCTCTGTATACAAGAAAATTGGAACAAAAAAAAATAGAATCTTACAAAATGCAATAATAACATTACCATTGCTAGGTTATATGATTCTAGTAAAAAATAAATCAAATATATGAATTTAATGTGAAAAATAATGATATTTACTTGGAAATCCAAAATTTTGAGGTGATCCCTAAATCTTTGCATGTGGATAAAATTGTTGCATCCATTTCTTGTCGAAGCTTCCCCAAACAACCTCAAGACCCCCAAACTAGTTTTTTGTTTTTTTATAAAGTTAACAGTAGGACCCCCAAGCTAGTTTTGGTTTTGGAGTTCGGATCTAGGGGATTTGAGCTCTTGAAATTGTTTGGATGAATAATTTATCCAAAATTTAAATCTATCAAAATCTAAGATTTTTATTTTTTCTTGACATACCTAGCATTCGATCAAGGACCTAAAAATAGGCATGGGATTCAAAGCTCATTAAGGATCAACCGAAATTTGTGAAGAAATCAACTTTTTTTTGAGTTGTGGCTAACCCGTACCCAAAGCCTTAGATCTCAAAAACTCAAGACCTGAGTTTTTTTCTCGAATCCAATGCCTCTAATGAGTAGATCAAGCAAACATATAGCTCAAGATTGAATTTGGGTGAAAATGTGGGTCTCTAGGGCAAGAAAATGTAAGTTGAGATGAGAAAAGGGGGTGGATTTCCATCCCCCTGTTTTATCTGCTTTTCAAATAGTACTGGGCGACTAGTGTACAAGGTATCCAGTGGCGGCACCCGGTTCTGGGTAACTTGCCCTAGTCCGAGTCGACTTTGGTGATTCTTCAAACACTGCTCATATTAATAGCTTGTAATGCGTTTCTGCTGCTTGCTCCACCAAGGTTGGATCAAGGTTGGCACCTAAAGGTGTGCATCTTGGAGCAAATTGGATTTCAACTGAAATTGTTTTTGGGGAATTTTTTTTTTTTGGTTGTATAGATTATATGAGATGTTCAAAGCATGAGGTGTTATCTATTGTCCCATAAAACTTGACACCACGTAACTTTGATCAGCTGATGTTTGATGAGAATCCACTATTTGTGTATATGTAGTGAAGAAGTGAGTTAAAAAGATTCTGTTATTGGGGATCTGCTCTTTCACCAATTTCTTTTCCAGCACTTCAAATTGCATAATTCACTAAAACATTTTGGGCACAACTTGGTGTCTTTGCTTCACTTTTATTGTCAAGGATTTATCGGGCATTGCAAATTTTGAGGTTTTAAACCTAAAACTTTTCTTCCCTGTAGCGTTTTAAACAACTATGCATTCATGCACCCACGATTTAGGTAACTTCATTATCTTGTGTATATATCTTTTGCATGATGATTCATAAGCGTAGACTTTCACCTTGACATTTTTGTTCATTGTGACAAGTTAGGCTAGGGCATTGTTGGAATGGCATAATTTGTCCCGTTTTTGTGGTTACTGTGGAGCGCGAAACATACCAACTGATGGGGGAAGACGGAAGCAATGTGTAAATGAATCTTGCAAGAAGAAAATCTACCCTCGTATTGATCCTGTATGTGTTGATGCCTGCTTATTGGTTCTCTCTATATTCATTAGTTTAACTTAGTGCATAGTTTATTTCTGAATTCTTATAAATAAGCATTGTTTGATGCACTGCTTAGTAACAGGTTGTCATTATGCTAGTCATCGATAAAGACAATGATCGTGCACTCCTAAGTCGTCAATCCAGATTTGTTCCTCGCATGTGGAGTTGCATTGCTGGTTTTATAGAGGTACATATCTTTTGTTTTATAAAGATATATATTTTTTAAACTTCTAGGTTGAATATGCATGATGCTTTTGTTTTAAGGGAAGGTGTATCATACTTGATGTATATGATATACAACATACACTCGCACAGATGAGCTATCTGCTTCTAAGTGATAAATTTCATATGTTGCACTTATTGTTGGGACATAATATTCTTCATGATGTTAGTAGTGGGGCTCTAAGGTATTATTGTACAGTATTTTTGTCATTTCTAAGTTCTGGATTGTTTCGATCCATGTATTTAAACTTTATGTTCAGCTACTATTCACAAGGAGCTAGTCATTCTGTTTATTTCTTATTTCATGGTATTGTACTTTTGTTTGTGATAACATATATGTATATGCATATGCATGGATATGGGTGTACTTATGATGGTCCCAAAGAGAACTATGGGACAAGTATCTTCAGGTTCTACCAAAAATATGCAATCTAGCATGGTACCCTCAGAGGTCACTTGGATATGTATACTGAAAACCGCTATTTGTATATCATATCAAATGCCTTATTTAAGCCATCAATAAGGATGTCAACAAGCTGAGCCAAGCAAACTTGGACATGTTCAAGATCAATTTGCACGGGTCGAAGGCCAGTTCAAGATCGATTCGAGCATGAACTACCCAGCTTGAGCTTGGCACGATTAAAGGAAATTGAGCTCGTCTGGGCTTAGCTGGTTTATTTCTACAAGCACACAAATGAGCTGAGGTGTCAAGCCCATAAACGACCCAAGTAATTAAAGAAAACACACACACACACATACATAATATTATTCAAGTATTTTGAGTCAAGTGGCCCACAATAATAGGTTCAGTGTACATCACGAGCATAAGGATTGTTTTAAGTGGTTCCCTTAATGTAGAGTCTATAATTAAAGAATTAAATTAAAGTAATACTCTTGCCATCAAACCAAGATAACATTTTCTTGTTGGTTATATGCTATTGAACAGTTGTCATTTTGCTGGACATTGGTCGGATGGCTAGTTATACTCCTTTTGTGATTTTGGGATTAGGACTGCTTTTAGAAAGATATCCCAAATATATGGCCCATACACTTCAAATGCTCTATGGGCCCATATGTGAATAATTAACTATAAATAAAGAAATTAAAATATAGATTTTTCAAAGATGCATTTCCAATTTGTGAATGAGTAATTAGTCTTAGCATACTGTATAGGCGCCAAAATATAAAAGGAACAATTCTAGCAAAAGTAATAGAAAAGAGGAGTCTCAAGTTTCCCCATTCTACTGTACATTTTACAACTTATTGAAGTTAAATCCCAGTTTAATACTCGAGTAGAAATGTTTGAAAAGGTAATTAGAAGTTCCAAAGAGGCCACCACAGTCGGTTAAACTATGAACAAAGCCATTACAAGATTGAAAACTTATGATAAAAAGCATGATAACTGAGCATATGACTGGTCATGTATTTATGCATAAAGCCTAAAGCGAAGCTGCGAAACAATTAATGAACTTCATAAAAGCTACACAGTTCTCAGAAAGTGGTAAATTCAGGACTTGCCTGCCAAGATAATTTTGGGTAAAATCCTCAACCAGGTTGCACATATCTTTTCTTTCCTTTTTTTTTTACAGACAAACCACGACATATTTTCCTGATTAACCCTCCACATTGCCTATCTGATCCAGACCTAGTGATGACTGAGTATGCAAAGTATGAGAAGTAAGATACACAAAATGATTTTGATGATGTAACATATTAAAGAAATAGGAACAATATAAATGTAGAACCCTTGAATGAAGGAGTTCAGTTACGTCTTGTAGTATATTCTTTATCTACAATTATAGTTGTGCTGTGATTGATCTCCCGTGGAAACTAAGGGATGTGCCGTCTCTGGTGACTAAGGCGTGATACAGATAAATAACACTGCTTCCATCGCTAAATTCCATCTTCTAAGTAACAATTGAAATGGGTATCATCATTCTCATGAGCCATCATAAAGATTGAATGGAACTTCAATGCAATACTTCCCCATCATTCCTTGAGAGCTTTCTGTAGGACATGTTCCAAACTATTTCTTTTTGTGATTTGGTCTCTTGTAACCTATCCTCGAATTCTTTAATAAAATCTAATTCGTTAACTAAAGCAGTTTTCCCATTTGAGCTGCATACTATTTGCAAATTCATAGTATCTGCATCTTTTGCATTACTTGAGGCCTTGTTTTTCACCATTGTTCAAAGAGATGGAGGCAGCCACCTATGTGGGAGGGTCTATATATATCTGTGTGTGTGTGTGTGTGTGCGCGTGCGTGCATGCGTGCTTGCGCGCGTGTGTAGCGAGAGATAGAGAGATGAAAGTGGAAAGTTAGAGAAAAGGAGAGAGTAGAGATCCATCATCTACCCACATTCTTTCATCATCTACCCATGTTCTTTCATCATCTCCCCATGTTCGTTTTTGATCAGGACCACATAAGACACACTACGTAGAACATCTCATTGCATTCGGGCAACTTTATAAGCCCTTATTCTTTTTGTGAACTTATTTTAAATCCTTTGTAATTGGGCAGGTAAATAAGCCCACATTTTGTATAGGGTCTACTGACCAATTTTGTACCGAGAGACCCGTCTAGAGGGCTCTCTTGGACTACCACAATCTGTACCCCAACTTTTCTAATGCAATTCAAATGTTAACCTTTCAAAAAAAAAAAAAAAGTTAAAAATTAAAAAATTTGGCCGCCTAGGCAGCCATTGTGTTGGGCAATTTGCAAAGCCCGTGCATGAATAGGCAATTGTGACTCAAGAAATGCTCAAACACCCTCACCCTACTAGGTGATTAGCCTTGGACAATGTTTTTTTCTATTTCTGGGTAAATTTGTTTCAAGGTGTCTGTGGATACCATGCCATTTACATTCACCACCTCATGAGATGGAGGGGAAAACTACCTCTGTTTAATCTGTTACAAATGGAGGAAATACAACAGAATTTGCAATATACTTCCCGCGCATATGAAGGGTCATCTATTGTGTTCCTTTGATCTCTGTTCCTCGCTGCTTCTCATTTCTGCCTGTGCATTTGCGTTCGCGTCCACAATCTATGCTTATTTACAGCCTGGTTGGCATCTTTTTGTGGATGTTTATACTTTACACCAGGTGGTTATACAATCTTGCCTGATAATGATGTTGTAGGGGGCATTGTGATAGATCCACTTACTCATGGAGATCATGTGTTGACGTGTTCGTTTATCAACAAATAATGCTCCTCATGGGGGCCATGTATCATCTAGATAAGTTTGGAGTGGGATCTCATGTGTCATATATGTCATGTAAGCTTATGGCTCACGTGTTGATAGAAGTCTTCAGGTGGAATGTTCCTTGCTTATATTTCACGGGAACTTACTTGGACTTGAAACATTTGATTCAATTTCTTTCGAAACATGTAGTATAGCTTGTTACTTAGTCCTCATGACTTATTTTGAGAGGTCTAGGAAATATTACCCAAAAGGTTTTAGCATTTAGTAACATATCTCTGAGGTTCGGACTAAAGGAAAGAGAACTTTTCTCATCTGCCAGAAGATCCTGATGAGATAGGGACTCTTATAAATTTTGCCGGAGCAAAATGATAAAATAGAGGGGGTAAAAGGATTCACTGTAGTGATTGAAATATATAAAAGGTGTGGTCTCGTCAGTCTGACGAAGACTACTGGGGTGCTTAAAAAGAAGTGCTGCCACCAGGACTGCTTTTAGTCACTATACGGAGCTGTATGTAATGCTTGGCATTACTGTCTTCATCATGCGTAGATGCGACTGACTTAACCTTTAATGATGTTTATATAAAAGGGGGTCTTTAGTCTTTTCTAGACAAACTTCCTGTGAAGTTTCAATGGTTGTCAAAATTTCACTAAACGGGTGCCGAGGCCCTTAAGGATCCTTGTGCTTCTCTTTTGCCTAGACAGCACCTTGATCCTCTTGGCATGAAGGCAGAAAAAAGTGCTCTTCATCAAGGGCGGTTTGTGTAATTCTCCCGCTTTTTAAGGGGGGCATTCTACCCTGTAAAGCCAAGAAGGCATGATAAGGGGTAGGGACTGTTTCCTGTTGACTCGGAACTAAGTTGTCATTTCGTATTTGAATTTTTATTTTTTATACAAATTCAAATCACTTGAAATTTTGAGCGTCTATTATTCAAAAATAGGAAAATGAATATTACAATAAGGCTCTAAAGTCGCTGTGACCCAATCATCCCTGTAAAGCCAAGAAGGCGTGATAAGGGGTAGGGATTGTTTCCTGTTGACTCGGAACTAAGTTGTGATATCGGTTCTTATGGCAAATTTCCTCAGAACCTTATCCAGCAGATCAACTTCTACGAGTTCTAGTTCAAATGTCTTACGTGTCAATAATAAGGAAGAAATAATCATAGACAATATAGGAAAATAAATTCAATACTGGAATATCCCTAAAGTTCCAATTCATGACGTTTAGAAGAGAGGAACTTTTGATGTTAAGAGTAATTTTTCAATTAAAATAATTGAGAAAACTATATCGGTTATGGAAACCGAAGATAGTTTTCAGCTTCTATCTAACAGAATGATAGAAGAGCATAAGAATAAATTTTTTAATTATCTCCATATTGGACTGGTTCAAGTGGCGATTAAGCCATTAACCAGAACAGGGTTAAATAACTCAGTTCTACTCTGCCTTAGGGATAATAGGCACACACGTTTTACTGATTCCCTTTTAGGGATGGTTAAATCAAATCTATGCAAAGGCCTTATTTATTTTAATTGTTTTTCGAACTTTTCTGTGGCCCTTTCAGATCCAAACCTTTTAAAGGTTTTAACCTTAAACTTAAAAATGCAAGGGTTTGATATGGATCTAGGATCCCAAAACCTTGCTTTTGTTTATAGGATTTGCTATAACTTATGTCCAAATGCCAAAAAAATGGATACAAAGGGACAAACAGTGTTTTTTCAAACAAATATAGAAACATCTAATCTAGTGATACCTAAAACGGTATC